CGTGCGAGCCCCAGGTGTGCTGAGCCCCAGGTGAGCTTCGTGCGAGCCCCAGGTGTGCTGAGCCCCAGGTGAGCTTCGTGCGAGCCCCAGGTGTGGTGTGCCCCAGCGGTTCCATCTTCACCTGACAGCTCCCGTCTCCACCAGCCTGATGATCTTCCTCTTGGACACCACGGTGTAGGTGAGGTTGAGGCGGCCGTACTCCCACTGCACGGGGCAGTACACGTCCAGCACGTTGCACAGCCAGAAGTAGGAGGAGCGCCTGCCACACAGAGACACAGGAGTGAACGTGTAATCGAGCACCGCCCACTCGCATCGTCCTCATCCTCTCTCCTCCCTGACCCAGCCGGTCTTGCACACAGACCCCTGAACCACGGCGAGGGACACAGACAGGGAGCACATGCAAACTCCATACATGAGGCTCCCCGCCCCAGAGTATGGTTCAGGAGCGTCAGCGGTCTCACCACAGCGAGAGGCCCTACAGAGACGCCCCACAGCGGGCTGGTGAGTCCATCTCTCGGCCCCGGGTTCGACAGTGCTCACCTGGCCTGGAACTCCTTGGTGCAGAGGGAGTGGGTGATGTGCTCGATGGAGTCGCACAGGCAGTGGGTGTAGTCGTAGGTGGGGTAGATGCACCTGGAGAGACAGACGGGTCAGAGCAGCCCTTCGACTCCCTCCCTCCCCCCCGCACGCGCGCCGGGCGAGAGCGGGCCGTACCACTGGTCCCCGCTGCGGTGGTGGGGGGTGTATTTGATGCGGTAGGCCACAGGGTCCATCTTGCCATCCTCCATCACCATCTTCATCCTCAGCGTGGCCTCCCCCTCGGCGAAGACCCCCTTCTTCATCCTCTCGAACAGCACCAGCGACTCCTCCGCGGGACGGTCCCGCCACGGCGAGGGTGGGGGGCTGTGGCCCTTGATCTCCTCCCCCCGCTGGTGGCACACATAGGCGTGGCCCCTGCCAGGGAACAGGAAGAGGCGGGGCGTGAGGGGCAGTCTCTCCGGCAGAGAGAGAGAGGGGTCAGGGGAGAGAGAGAGGGGGGTCAGGGGAGAGAGAGAGAGGGGGGGCTTGAAGTGGGGCTCTGCTCTCACCTCCTGATGAGCTCCACCGCCCAGTCGTACAGCTGCTGGAAGTAGTCGGATGCGTGGGTGACCGCGTAGGGCTTGTACCCTGGCAGAGAGACAAGGCACAGTTCTGTACAGCACAGCGCCGCCGCAGGGTGTTCAGAGCCCCGCGCCGCCGCAGGGTGTTCAGAGCCCCGCGCCGCCGCAGGGTGTTCAGAGCCCCGCGCCGCCGCAGGGTGTACAGAGCCCCGCGCCGCCGCAGGGTGTACAGAGCCCCGCGCCGCCGCAGGGTGTACAGAGCCCCGCGCCGACGCAGGGTGTTCAGAGCCCCGCGCCGACGCAGGGTGTTCAGAGCCCCGCGCCGACGCAGTGCTGTACGAGTGCTGGGTCAGCCTGCAGCCACAACACACGCCAGCACTGTGTCCAGCACCGCGTGTGCACACACAGATAACACACAGATAACACACAGAGCACTTCTAGCACCACCACTGCACACACAGATAACAAGAAGAGATCTCTTTGGCCATAAACAATTTCTCGGATTAGGAATTTGTCTTTTCGCAGACCCCAGCTTGCTCTCCACGAGACACACAGATAACACACAATTTTACGATTCAATGGGGCAAAGCATTTGAAATCGAGACAAACAGGACTGCAGGTTTCTGGAGTCCGGGAACATACCCAGCCACTCCACCATGTCCCTGATGCCAGTGAAGTACTTCTCCTCCTCCTTCTCCGGGTTCGTGTCGTCGTACCGCAGGAAGCAGATCCCGCCATTGGCCTGCAGGGGGCAGCAGAGAGACAGGTCGGTGAAGGCTCTACCGGGCCAGCGCCGGGCGGGTCGGGCGGGCCGGGCCGGTACCTTGGCGTATCCGAAGTTGAAGTTGATGGCCTTGGCGTGGCCGATGTGCAGGATGCCGTTGGGCTCAGGGGGGAACCGGGTTCGGACCTGCCGTCAGAACACAACAAGTCACACAGAATACTCCTGTGCCTCATGTCCCTCTGCTCTCCTCCTGTCCCTCTCCTGCTCCCTCTGCTCTCCTCTTGTGCCCCCTGCGCCCCGGCCCCTCAGTACCTGCCCCCCGGTGATCTCCAGGTGCTCCTTGAGCAGCCTCATGGTGTGAGGGGTCATCACGTACCCCTCCGTCTTGTAGTTCTCGCCTGCGGAGAGAGGAGAGGGTGAGGGAGGGTGAGGGAGGCTGGCGACCCTGACCCGGCTCCGGCGGCTCACGGCGCGGGGCCTCACCCGGCCTGTGGAACTTCAGAGCCTCTCCTCGGAGCTGCTCCATCAGGGACCTGCCCTCCAGCTTCACCGCGCCTGTGGGCACACGGACAGATTGGTCCCGAGCGCCCCTGGGGGAGGCAGCCCCCCACCCCCACTGTCTCCCTGCGCCCCACTGCACCCCAGGGGTCCCCCCTCTCACCGTTCCCTGCCGACTCCTCCTTCCGGTCCTGCTCCGGCGCTCGGGGCTTCGGGACCTGGGAGAGGGAGAGCCGGACTTCAGCAGCAGCTGCTGACCCGTCTGTCCAGCCTGCTTGACCACCTGCTCAGCCCGGGACAGCAGTGTCCAGCAGGAGGACAGGACTAGCCCAGCCTCTCCCTGCTCACTGTGTGTGCCGCGCCGTGCAGCGCTGGTCTGTGTTGTGTTGAGGTGTGGTGTGTTGTGCAGTGCTGTTGTGATCTCCTACAGCCTCACCTTGGACTTCTTCTCCAGGTCGGCCTCCGTCTTCGGCCCCAGGAGGTGGAGGACCTGAGGGAGGACAGAGGGGTCAGATCAGCCATCTCAACCTGGCCCCCTGCCCGCCCGCTGGGCACCAGGGTCCCCCGCGCAGCGCCCCCCACAGGCCAGCCTCTCTGCCCCCCCACACAGCGCCCCCCACAGGCCAGCCTCTCTGCCCCTGCGTGCCTGTTCTTACACACCTGCATGTCCACCTCGTTCTTGATGATCTTCCCATCAGCCCATTTCAGCCGAGTGCGGGCCTCCCCTGAGAGAGAGAGAGGAGTCAAGAACAGGGGGAGCAGGAGGGAGTGTGGGGGCACTCGGAGAGCGAGGGGGGAGCGGGAGGGAGTGTGGGGGGCTCACCCATCAGCAGGCCCATGTTGAAGCGGTATCTCTCCTTCACCAGCTGCTCCTTGTGCTTCAGGATCACAGCCTCCACCTGCAGGAGCACAACACAGGGCTGACCGGTCTGCGCAGGACAGGCCAGGACAGGCCGGAGCGGCCCGGGGGCTGACCGACTGCGCAGGACAGGCCAGGACAGGCTGGAGCGGACTGGGAGAAGCTGTTCAGTCAAGCTGATCAGGAGCTGCTCCCGCAGCGTCAGGACTGACCACCCCTGGACGGACCCCCCCCCCAGCTCACCGCGTCCTCGATCTGCTCGGGGGTGATGACCACGCCCACCCCGCACGCCTCCTGGAAGTCCTGGGCGGCGATGGGGTCCTCCGGGTGGCTCTTCACGTACTCCAGCGCGGCTGCGAGGGGCAGAGAGGGGGAGATGTAGGAGCGGAGGGGCGGGGCAGCGGGCACCAGCCATGGCGCGGGGGGCCGGACTCACCCGAGAGCTGCAGCTCCGTGCTGATCCTGCGGAGGGCGATGTGCTCGGTCAGGAAGGCCAGGCGGCGCGCGTCGCGGAGCCGAGAGGCCAGGCTGTACAGCAGGGTCCCCGTGGGTCTGTCCACGCCCGCCAGTCCCGCCACGCCCCGAGCCTGGGCACCAGCACACGCACGGTGACATCATCAGAGACCGACCCCCCCCCCCGAACCCCTTACCCAGCTGCCCCAAGCAGCTCACAGCAGTTCCACTGAGCCGACCCACAGAATTCCCAAACCGGGCGCCAAGACGAACAGGCAGCGGACCCTAAACCAGAGACTGGTCAGCGGCTGGCAACAGAACCCTAAACCAGTGACTGACCAGTGTCCCGCACACGTCCACAGTGCATGAAGCCCTCCCAGCTTGTACGCTGGAAATAATCCGATGTTCTCCCTGCTCCCACCCCGCTCAGAAGGACTGCAGGCGTACGGCTCTGTGTCCTTCGTTTGCATCATCCGATCATCCGGGAGTGAGAATCCACAGCCTGGCCAGGGGGCACTGCCA